CTGGCCAATCAGAGACAGACTGTCTGCTGCCACAGCAGAGTCTCGGGAAAAGACGCTGGCAGGCTGTTAATGCAGTAGCAGGAGTCCCGGAGGATCTTGTCTGATTGCTCCTCTTTTCTCCGAGAAAGAGCTGAGGTTACCAAGTGAAAGTGATGATGGAGAGGAGTTGTAAAAGGTTTGAGGAAAGACAAGACGGTATGGCTGTCACCAAGGCAAGCAGAATATACAGACTGATTGCATAGCAGCTAAAGGGCCCTTCCTTTCGTGATCATGAATTTAAAGCGAGACCACCAGCACAGCTGGGTTTTTCTCCAGCCACCATGGGCAGAATGGGCGATGGCACTGACTGGGCAACAATATGCATTTCCCGGGGCTTGTTTGGCAAAAGGAAGAGGGAAAGAGGGGCCAGAGCTGAGGATGCTTCCCGCTGAGCTGTCTACAACAGCACTCCCCGTGAAAACGCACACTGCCTAGTGCCCTTTTCCCTTAGCAGTTGTCATTACCACATCACGCCCTTAATTTCTCTTACTGCCTGTCTCCCCTACTGTGAAGTCTCCCGAAGGCAGGAATTTTCGTCTGTCTGGGCTGTCGTCTTTAACAGGTGAGATTCCGAGCTGGGCACAGCAGTTACTGCAGTACCTGTGGCCCCTCCCACCGCTGCCCTGCGGTTTCACAGAGAGTGACTGGCTGGGGGGATACCCAGCAGCTACTTTTAAGGGACTGAGTGGGTTGGATGTAATTTTGATCTTTAAAACTGGTAACAGTAGTTTCTTATGCTAATTATAGTAAAGGGACCTTAAGGTGGAAGGAGTTTTATCTAAAACAAAAATTTTAAAAAGATTTACTTATTTAGAGAACGGAGAAGGGAGGGAAAAAGAGAGGGAGAGAAACACTGGTGTGAGATTGCCTTTTTCCGACCGGGGACCAAACCCACAACCGTGCACGTGCCCCGAGACAACAGCCAACCAACTGGGCCACACCTGTCAGGGGCTCTAAAAATTTCTTAAGTAGAAGAGATTAATAAGAAGTAGCAGGTGGTGAGAAATGAGATGGGAACATATACATGGGCCAGTTCAAAATATCCCCATGGCCAGCTTGCTGCTACCTGTGGGTGGGAAGGGATGAGAGAGGAGAGTGAGTTAACTTGATTTACGTTATAAAAGTTCTCTGTGGCTTACTGTGGAACACGGATTCAAGGGACAATGGACGGGGGCTCCAGAGTCCAACCAAACGGCTAAGCAGTGACCCAGGAGCGAGAGAGGGTGGCCTGAACTCAGGAAGGGAAGGAAGATGAAGCGATGGATAGGAAAACATGCAGGGGGCGGGGTCAGCCAGACTGGAGGCGGTGCAGGTTCAGGAAAGGCAGCAGTGGGGGAGGAGCCAGGGCAGCCGCTGGTCCAGCCATTCCACCTACCACACCCAGGTCATTTTCAAGGTCCTGACTACCGGAAACCATAGGGCTACTCCCATGGTATCTTGACTTTTGCCTAAAAATACCATTAAAAAAAAAAACCATGAAAAACAAATAATTTCCAGTGTTCAAAAGAACGAAGTTAAGATGTCCTCATCGTGATAGGCAGTGGTATTGATAGGCAGCAGTAAAACTGTTCACGAGGTTTTTGACAGCACTCATTCCAGCAACCTGCTTTATGCCCGCGGCACAGGGGGCGGCCCCCACTGGGTGCCCAGGGAGCCCCGACGCAGCCCAGCCCTTGGGCGCAGGGACGGTTCCTAGTCTTGTGCTCTCAGCTACCAGACTCCTTTAAGAAAGCCACATTTCAGTAATTCTCAAATAAGTCACCTACACACAGTTACAGAATACTTGTCAAGTTCCCAACGCTATGGTGTGGACTGTATGTTTACGTAAGTACACATATTTACATAAGTTTACGTAAGTAAACAAGCTCAGCTGAGCGCCGATGCCTGCGGGGCGCCGGGGCCTGTGGACCAGCACGCTCCACACACGCAGGGCTCTGGGACACCGGACCGTGTTTTCTCACTGAGATTCCAGAGCAGGAGTTCCAGCACGAGTTCAGAAATGGTCGGATAACAACCCCCGCCACACCGCCTGGGTCACATTCTCTCCTCTGAAAGCAGGATCCTGGAAAGTGCTGATTTTTAAAAATGATTTTCCTCGGTCCTAGTGGCTGCATCCTGGACTATGCATTATCATCAACAGCCCTCCTAATAATAATTCTTAGAATGAACAGCACTTAGAAGTCTGTAAGATGAGAAACAGGTCTCACTCTAAGGCAGGGCTATCAGTTCAGGAATCCAAGTTTCTCAGTGACGTGGCCTCTTAACTAGTGGGGCACCTCATGCTTTGTCACGTTTCACAGGTTCAAATAAAGGCACGTTAAAAACTGAAAATCTGCAGAAAGAATTAAGGTTGGAACGTGAGCTTGGCCTAGAAGAAACAGTAATTGATAAGTGCACTAGCTTTTTCATTCATTCATTTATCCCACAAGTATGTTCTGAGCATGGATGTGAGCTGGGCCCTCTCCTAGGGTCTGGGGCCGGAGCTCCCACGGGGGAGGGCGGCATACAAAGTGCGAGTGTGGGACCAGGAAGTGCAAGGACTAGCAGCGATGAGTGTGCTGAGGAGGAACAAAGTGGGCAACAGGCAGAAACGCTCAGGGCAAGGCCTTGTCTGAGGCGGCCTGGGCTTCCCAGCATCCGGCCGGATGCTTAGAAAGGAGCGGCTGCTCAGGTGTGTGTTTATGAATTATGGTGAGACTTTCGGTGTCTGCTTTTTATGAATTAGATTTATTGGGGCGACGATGGTTAACAGGATCATATAGGTTGGTATCTGCTTTTACTTTTGGAAATACTTGATTAAATCTACAAAGTGAGGTATTAGGCACTTGAAATTGCAAGGTGCAACCCTGAACTTGAATACAGTGAAGAGATAGAAAGCCAACTGCTGACAATCCTGCCAAATATTTTAAAGGTGCTCGGAAAGCCTAAATCCAAGAAAATGGGGGTATTTTTAGTTCAAGATTACTAATACAATAAAGCAAATGTGTAAAATATGAACGAGCTTCCATTATTGCATACTTAGAATATGTATACTTTTAATATCTACGAGTTATTTTTAATACAATGATAATGTAAAATTAAGCTTATTTACTCATTTTTTCCTGGGAACTATTGAAAAATCAAATGTAATAAGACCCACAAAGGGCTGGTCCTCCCTTTCTCTTCAACTGGACACAAAATATCTGCCAAGTGACCAATGCTTTGTTTGTTATAGTCACCAAAGCTCAACTAGAAAATGGGATGCCAAATCTTCACAGAACATCCTCAGACTCTCAATAAGCAAGAAGCAAAGGTACAAATTCAGCTACATTTTTCAAGATGTTTTTAAGATCTCAGTCAATATGACAGAAACGTTTTCATCTTCCATTTCAACACTGTGATACAAATCAATCAAAGTTAGACACTTCTGGCCATTAGAATAACGTCCCCTTATATCCTAGGCCTAGGACACTGCACCATCACTTGCTTCAAGGTAAAACAGTTGTTTTTAAATGTTGTCTTGATTCGGGTTTGAGGCCCTGGCTAGAGACCGGTCAGCTCCTTTCTTGAGCAGCTGATGAAATTCACACGCCCCGCCCACACGCCCGGCCACTTCCCTGCCTCAGAGCCCACTGAAGCTCTTCTGGTTGGCCAGCCCTAAACCCATTCACCTGCCCCATTTCTTCCAGCGGAAACCACAGTGAAGGTGTTCACCCTGGCAGCCCCGAGTATAGGAACCATGCCACTCTTCCTGGTTCCTCTTCCTCTCGATGTGTGTCTGGCCTCCCTACAGTTCACTCAAAATGATGTGGTTAAAACACAAGGGTATAAACCATATTTCTTTTAGTTAAGAAATAACACTAAAATGAACTGCTAATGTTTCTTAATTAGAAGTAATATATCGTATAACCGCAGTGTTAATTCCCTGCAACAGTTCAGATGGATTTATTTTGCAGCTAGGGTTAACTCCAACTTCCAGGGTGCTGTAACTGACCACAGACGGTGCCCGCGTCTGTCCAAAGCCTCGTTTTCACCAAGATATATTATCATCGATCACCGTGCTAAGTGAGGTGGGATATTTTTAAAGGGATTCCCCATTAAAAATACCCGTATTCTTTGGATCCACTAAAGGCATATTAGGTTACTCAAATTAATCAATCCATTAAAAACTCCACAACACTGCAAAAACTTAAAGAGATGAAAATACAGCAACGAGTGCTGGGCCATTCTGAACGTGAGCTCGTGGTGAGGAAAAGCAGCTGACACTGGTGCACCAGCGGTCCGAGCCCCGGAAAGCCCCGCAGCTCCCCACACCACGAGCGGTCGGTCTGTGGGACGCGCACGTCTGGTCTCACTGCTCAGCTCACCGCCCTCTACAGCAGTGCTCCCTGACCTTTCTGGCACCAGGGACAGTTTCATGGAGGATGGGGCAGGGCAGGATTGGGGAGGGGAACAACAGTGAGGACACAGGAGGCAGAACTCAGGTGAGCTCTGCTCAGGGCCAGGTTGCTAAGAGGCCATGCCAGATACTGGTGCACGGCCTGGGGGTGCACGGCCTGGGGTGGGGGCCCTGCTCTGTAGCTCCCATCTCATTCAGCATAAAAGCTTAAGTTCTTCTGGGCAGAGGCAGTGAACTTATCTGAAAGGGCCAGAGAGCCAAAATTTTAATCTTCGCAGGACAGATTGTGTTGCAGTTACAGAGCATTATTATGCTAGACTTATATGAAAATAGTATTAAGATTCTAAACTGCCATGTCCGATCAAAAATCATATTTTGTGGAGTATGCATAAACTTTGCAAAAAATAGGCAATGTCAGTGTTGGTTTATAAAGCTTAATATTTTTATAGCAGCTCAATAAACATTTTCTGAATAAAATATGTAAGTGCAAGGTTATGCACTTAGAGAAAGATGATGGCACAGACCTTAAACTAAAGGTCACTTTCTTCTGTACAGTGTATCCAACAAGGAACAGTGGACTTACTTCAGATTGCTGATTCTAGTCTCGGCACTTTCAGTGAGTTTCTTCGTTTCCTCCTTCCACCTGTCGGCTGCCTTCTGCTGAGTCGCTAAGAGTCGCCGCAGTTCGACGGTGGAGTTGCGGTTGCTGTCCTCCATCTCCCTCAGCTGCACTTCAAACCCGCGCTCCTTCACTGAAAATTCATGTTCCATTGTACTGACCTGGGCAACAAAACGGACACAGAGCCGCCTTTTTATTTTCTGTTCTTCTCGGGGATATACGGACCAGCGATACACGCAAACGGGATCACTCACTGTGCTGTCTGGGGCACATAAAGGTTTGGATGAGTAACCCATATAAAAATGAAGTTTACGATTTGTCCTTATCACAAATGAAAACTGACTCTGTATTACAGTAAACATTCGGTGAAGCCAGAATTATGATGGACTAAAATTCTTTGCAGCACTTTTCCCAACACCTTAAAGTGCCAGTGGTAACAAAGTATCCTCTATTATATAAAATTGCTGTCATCATTTACTTTTACGTTTGTTGCCATAATCCACAACACAATGTTCATGCTCTCAGTCACTGAGAGTTGTTTTTACTCGAGCCATTTAAAAAATGATCGCTGGTTTATTATAAAGAATGCAGCTCCGGCACAGCCAGAGGGAGGAGATACAAAGGGCAAGGAACGGCCTGTGGGGGAGGGGAGCTCCCCCGCCCTCTCCAAGCACACCCCGCCCCCTCACCAACTCAGGACTCCGCCCCACGGCCTTTCACGGGGCTTTACGATATCGAAGAATATTACATACAGGAATTCCTTTACCATTTTAGTGACAGTATAAAATAGGTTTTTCTTTCAGGAAAAAAAACCATAATGCTTTTGAGAATCTCCTACGGAAGTAAGTTCAGTATATTTCTAGGTAATGTATGTCATTAAAAGCACCTTTTAATGCAGAATGAGCATACAAACAATGTTCTTGGGACACCCTGGATGTTTTCTCAACTGTGACCCAGGCGGAGAATGAAGATTAATGCCCTAGCGCATGTCATGATTCCTGCAGAATGGAACCACCATCACCACCTCGAGGCAACTGGGAAAACCGCTCCGAGGACAGTTCCTTCGGTGCACTCTCGGAACATCTTCTCCTTGCTACCCTAAAGAAATATTATAAAGAATAACTACCTTGTGGTACTTTCAAGTAATATGCTTGGAAAATGATCCTAGCTGGCATGGCTTCTAGTAGTTCATTAAATAAGATTCCTTCTAAGCTTAGAAAAAATGAACAAGCCCCCCAATCTTATCAGGTTGAAAGACACTGGAGAAAACCCACCATTAGCAGAATCCCTGACTCATGAGGGCAAAGGGCACATAGCCCTGCTCAATGCCACGGGCTTCCTAGAATGCTTACACCTGCTTTCTCAAGGAGGGCAAGGGTAGAAATTTACGGCTTCTTGAATACAGGCATTGGAAACCAATACTGATTTCTTGGCTTTGTACTGCATTACTGCTGGGCAAGCCTCTTGAGACTCCCTGATTCCTGCTATTTTAGTAATTTTTCAATTATTAGATTCTGAGAATTTAGATTTCAATATACTCCCCTCCTTCCCTGCCTTGACCTCCACTTTCTCTGGAGAAGCCATGGTTCCGATGTCTCAGGGGGATGGTCTATTCCTGTCTCTCTCCCATACATGTTAAAGACGATCTATGCACCTGCACAGCGTCAGAACGCTGCTTCCCGAGGTAGGTGCCTGCGGTCCGTGGAACACCTGATTGCTCCAGGGCCCTTTGGGACCTGGCCTCTGCTTGTGTCTGCCCGCTGTGTCACGCCACTGTGGCCCTTCTTTCTGTTTCTGTCATAATGCCTTCCCATTCTTGGGTCCTTTCTCCCACTCCCTTGGCATGGAAAAAATCTTTCCCCTTCTGCTTAGGTTAGTTACTCTGTTGGGGACCACTCTGTGTGGTGTTGGGAATTGCAGCCCTGTACAAGCCGGGCCTTGAATATCGGACTGTAAGACTTGACCAGAGAGCTGGGAATGCTGGGAATGCTGGCAGGCAGGCATGAGGGCTCCCGTGGGGAATCAGGCTAAAGAATGCACTATACCCGTGAGGCTTGCTTTCCTTTGTGTAGCCCTGTTGCCACAAATCTGTTATCGAAATCCAAAGCAGCGGGAATGAGCGCCTAGTCTCCTGAGCCACGCCTTAATGACCTGAGGCAGATCTCTGTGCTTCCTCAATTGTTATCTATAGACAGTATCTGTTTTCTGTAACTAGGGCCTTTAGACATTGCTGGGTGAGCTTTGTGAGCAGGCTGTTTATCCCTGGTACATCACTCTCGATAAAGCCTCAGGAGGAAGGACCTCGAGGCCCTTCTCCCCTGAGAGATTAGCCAGCCTTTTCTCCCCAAGCAGATCTTGTGTTGGCAGCCCCATTTCATCTGTGACTCTGGGGGACACTGTGGGCCGGGTCCCCATGACTCTACTCAACTTTTAGAACTGAGCTCAGCTGCTGCTTCTGTTGGGTGATTCGGTCACTGTCAGGCAGTCGGGTCCCTCCATGAGCTTTCACCGAGCCCCGTGTGCCTCCTAAAATGCGCTCATTGGTTTATAGGTAGATGTTTAAAGTGGGCCCCTCCATGCAAATTTTAACTTTTTACGGGTGGGCCCCACACCTTTTTTGTTTACTATTTTATCTTTAGGACCTGAAACATAGTGAAGTTGTCAAAGCACAGCTTTGATTGAATAAACAATGGTGTTTAGATGCCAAAATTCAGTCTTCAAACAAACCCAGATCCTTTAGTGGATGTAATTCCGATGACTGTGCTGGACAGGTCTGCAGCGACCTGGGAAGGCTGAGGGTCACAGCCCCCAGGCCTGTGGTACAGGTAACAAAAGTCCCGCTAACGGCGGAATTCAGAACCCTGGGCAGGAAACAAGCATTTACCGTCTCCCTGCCTTCTCTCTCCCCGCGGGCCCTTCCCTGCAGAGAACACAAGTGCTCCCTCTGTTGGTGTGAGGCCAGGATTATTTGTCGTGGCACATGTGTGAGTCCAACCTAACGACACACTGCAAATGGTGGTGGCTCCAATGTGCATTCCCAGTGTCATGGGACAGTTCCAACTGCTTTGCAACTTTGTCAACACTAGCCACTTTTTAAATTTGACCCATTCTGGTAGGTATGTAATGATACTTCATTGTAGTTTTAATTATATTTCTCTAAAAAATAATGAAATTGAACACGTTTTCATATATGCTCTTTTATAAAGTGCCTATTGAGGTCCTGGCCATTTATGGCAATGAGATGTTTGTTATTTCCTTACTAGTAACTTAGTAGTTGACAGCAGTTTTTATATTTTGAACAGGAGTCCTGTTTTGGTTGTATGCATTACAATACTCTCATCCACTTCTCATTCTCTTGGTGTCTTCTGATGTCATTCATCAATTTTATTGAAATCCAACTCATCTGTGTTTTCATATGATTATTGCTTTGTGTTCTGTTTAAGAAATTCCTTTAACCATTTTTCGAGAAACGATTGGAAATACCTGGCAGATATAAATTGGACATAATAAATAGTAATACCTAGATTAATTTTGGTTATTAAATGCTCATTTGAATAAAAAAAAGAAAACATATTTCTAGTGTCAAAAAAAAAAGAAATTCTTTCTTACTGAAGGACGTGAAGATTTTTCTCCTTGAAGCTCAACAGTTTTAGATTTTGCATTTAGGTACACAAGGTAACTCACATTAATTTGCATGTGTGGTATACGGGTTAACTATTTTGAAAATATGGCCTAGCATCATTTATTGTAAAGATAATTCTTTCCCTAATGAAGTGCAGTGGTGTCTTTATTATAATGAGGTGATTATGAAAGATTGGCTTCTTCCTATTCTGTTTCACTGATCACACTGATTATTCTTATGTTGATTATACATTTTTAGCTACTGTAGCTTTCATAAAGTCTTACTACCTTCTAGTACAACTCTTCCCTTGTTGTTCAGAGATTTCCCACTGACTAAAGCATAAAGTTCAAACTCTTTTTCAGAGTTCAAGGTTTTATCAGTAAACACAGGGTCTAGTACTAGTAATAGGAATTATTCAATAAATCTGTGTTGATACCAATATGGCTGAATGTGACTGTTGAGTCCCTCGAATAACAAAAACCAAAGTGAAACACTAGCATTGCCAGCCCACCATAAAGAGGTAATGCCACGTTTTACCGAAGTCTCACTGGACGGGAAGGGCCGGTGACATGCTGATGGGAAACACCCGCACTTCCTGAGTCTCCGGAAACAGCCGGTCACGTTCCTACTGCCTGAGCACGTCAGCATCACAGAGGGGAGAAGTGAGAGGGAAAAGAAGGGGCATTTCCTAGGGGAGACTCGGACCCTTGCCTTCTTCCTAGCATGGAATTTTCAGACCACCCAGGAGTGACTCTCAGAGCACACGGATGGGGCGCCCTCGTAGGGCCGGTGTGAGAGTTCAGCCCTCGAGGCTCATGTGGAGGGGAAGAGAGGCAGTCTGCAAAGTCATCTGATCTGCAGTCTGCAAATCAGACAGTCTGCAAAGTCATCTGACCTGCAGTCTGCAAATCAGACAGTCTGCAAAGTCATCTGATCTGCAGTCTGCAAATCAGACAGTCTGCAAAGTCATCTGACCTGCAGTCTGCAAATCAGACAGTCTGCAAAGTCATCTGATCTGCAGTCTGCAAATCAGACAGTCTGCAAAGTCATCTGACCTGCAGTTCTGCTAGCGCTGCTTCAGTTGCTGCAGCAGGAATATCAGTGACCTTCATGGCTGGAAAAGAACTCTTTGTGTGTGGATAGTGAAAGCAATCATTTTCGAGTATATTTTCCAAGTTCTATAATACAGAAAAAAACCAGTTAATGCTTTGCATTATGATTTAGTGCCACGTGACAAGAAGGAAAAAAAAAGGCCTTAAAAATGTGTTACTAGGCCTCGGGATATTCTATACACTTAAATTTTCACAAGTACGTATTTAACTTGGACTTGTCTGAAAGTACCTTTAATTTGGCTTTTTTCTGAGTCTCCAGAGCAATCTTTCTTAAATCCTCCATCTCCTTCCGTAACTGTTCATTTTCTTGCTGAAGTTTTAGCCTTTGTTCACTGACTAATCCGCAGTTTTCTCTCTCAGACTCCAAGACACTTTGAAGTTTCTGAATCATTTCTTGGCAACGTGATATCTCTTCTGCGGAACTGATTAAGGAAAAAACAAAAGAGACGTAAACTTACAGTCCAGACTTTTTCCCTTTGCTCTGAGCCACTTCTCTGAAGACTCAGCTGTGTGGGGTCACAGTGTCATTTTGTGCCGGGAACACACATTCAACTCATCAATCTTAACGAGGAATAGACAAACTGAACTGTCACCACCCCCTAGAAGATGCACGTGGACCCCCCTCCAAATGTTGATGAACACTGAGCATCACTGTGTAAGCAGGACTTCAAGGGGACACACTAAAGCGAGTGATAAGAGGTGAAGTGGGTAATAATCAAAACTCCTTATTTCATCAATCAGCTGCACAGAAAGACACTAGCTGACCATGTTAGCAGATTACAAAACCTCTTTCATATGTTCATGTTATATGTCTTAGGAATGGCTTTTATAAATCTCTTGTTCCACAAACTTCTTATTTAATCATAGCTTGAATAGGTTTTATCTTTAAACTTCCTCTCCAGTAAATTATTGGGTGACACAGCCTCCAAACATATATATTGCTAATTTTTATTCCTCTCGTTTTACATCTCTATCTTTTCAATCCCAGGTAATCAAATGCTGTGAACGTTCCCTGGTCGATACAGGGCCCTCGTTCCCCATTAATAAATACTGTAGATCTTTGTTTTCTCTATCAACCTTGGCTGTTAAAGTTCGTCTTGGGGTGGGGGGCCTGGGCGATGATCACCAAAGGATACTGAGGTCAGGGCCAGCCACACAGTGTGCGCTTCCCAACAGAGGTGCAGCATGTTACTGTCTGTGAAGAATTCTTACAAAATAAAAGCTTGCCCTGGCTGGTGTAGCTCAGTGGATTGAGCACGGGCCTGCCAGACAATCGCGGTTCGATTCTCGGTCAGGGCACATTCCTGGGTTGCAGGCCAGTTCCCTGCAGGCCAATTCCCAGCAGGGGATCTACGAAAGGCAACCATACATTGATGTTTCTCTCCCTCTCTCCTTCCCTTTCCCTCTAAAGATAAAAAAAAAATCTTAACCCCCCCCCCCCAAAAACAAAATAAAAGCTGGATCAGATCAAGCCTCGTGACTCGATTCCTAGTTTTTTAGCAGAGAAACAAGGTAAGGATGATATTGCATACATGCATCCTATTTAACTGCCAGAAAGGAGAAAGTTAAAGTAAAATGATAAAGTACTATTAAATCTTTTCTTCCTTACAGAAATTAGTCTTCAGAAATAATTTTGGAAACAAATAAAAGAAGCTCTTGGTGTTCAAGTTTTTTTTAACATAAAATATAATTAATTATTAGTCTTATAAAAAAGCACTCTATCAAAAACTGTATTCATTCTGAAAGTGTTATCACAGAAAACCCTAGAGAGTATCTTACTTTATTTCAAGGTGTTTTATTTTATTTTCTGCTGTCTTAAGTGTTAGCTGGAGATCATCTTTGGAACGCTCTGCAACCAGGCATCTTTGGTGCATTTCCTCCAGTTTTCTGTAGAGATTTTCACTTCCTTTGCCTTCACGGTAAACCTGCAGAGGAGGCTTACATGTGTATTACCTTACAGAAGAAAGTGGTCTAAGAAATTACACATTTAGAAACTGAAATCAATGATGAGAAACCAAAACCCATGAACCTGTGTTCACCTGTTTTCACTGTAACCTATTAAAATATATTAATAATTAATCTGGTTGTTTTACATTTATAAAATACAGGTACAATGCTAAAGGCTGACATGAAATAATAACTACTTATTTTTGAAGTTATTGACGCTCACTGTAAATTATTCCAATAGTTCTAATATTTAAAAAAATGTAAAACAGCTGAAGTAAAAAAGGTACTCTAGGTGTCTCCATTGAAGAGAGAACTGCTTTGATTCTTGAACGAGATCCTACAAGTCACTTCTGTATCTGAATATTCAAACACACAGCCAACATGCAGCGAGGCAGTGAGCAGAACTTTCTGGAAGTGACTCCAAAGCCCCACTCTGTGCTGGCCGGACCACGATCTGGCTGGAACGCCCAGCAGGAGTGGTCGTGCCCACGCTCAGCTTCCCATGAGGCCGGCCCTTCGCCCAGGACACGGGCTCCAACAGCCCCAGAACCGCAGGTGCCAGGCCCGCAGGTGCCGGGCAGCTCATGTCTTCAGACAAACCCCCACACAGCTCCCCGTCAAACCCAGACTGCCTGGACAAGCAACCTGGGTCTCCACCCACGGACGAGACTGCTGCTACTCCTGCTCTGCTTGAAAGGCGGACTCTCGCACACCGTGCCGCTGCGGACAGACTCCGCCTGCAGCGTGCGCCGGACTCAGCACGCCTGTCTGCGGGAGCACAGTCGGAAGAGCAGGGAGCTGCGTCTCCCGCACCCATCGCCTTTGGCTTGTAGCTTTGGTTTTCCCCACTAAAGCCTATTCCTTAACCTTTGCTCTGGGACACTGAAAATTCACCCCAGGCCCTGACGAGCAGCAGGTGGACTCTAAAGGGAACAAATAATGACGAAAAGTGAGAAGGCGTCCACCGTGAAGGTGAGTCGTGGGGTTACACCAGATGGTGTGCTCTGGAAATGACTTTTTATGTTCAATGTTATGATTTTTTGATGTCCGTAATACAGATACACCATGTGCTTTGTATGTAATATAGCTCTTCTTTGAAAAAAATCAACTTTGACTCTACTATTCACTATTTTTTAATGCTGGGCAAGGATGTGCTGAATCAGATTCAGTTTTCCCCTTTTCCCCAAGGCACCCGAAGGCAGTGAGATAATCACTGCTGATAAAAAAGAAGTTATCTAAATAAGAAGAAATTTAACCACAGTCTTCTTGCAATATTTTTTCTCAAATAGCATCACAGTAAATATTTTTCTTAACTATGAAATAAGTCTGTGCTTTCAAAGGTAAAAATTATAGCAGTGTTATAATTTTCTGGTTATATATACTTGCTATATTTATAGATGGCTTAAACCCAGTAAGAGCTAGTATAAAATTTAAAAAGATAGACAAAATAAAATTTACCGCTGGGTTGAGGTTTAAGCAAGGAAAATAGCTACTTCAGAAAATTTATACCTTGAATTAAAAAGTTCAAATCATGTGGCCATTCTTCTTATAAAGAAATGTATGCAGACAATACCGACATTTAAATGCAGATTCTGACTATATGCCAAGCAAATAAAAACACTCACCAGGAGAATATTTAACTACAGGGGCTGCTAGTGGAGGGTGTGATGAAAGTGGACAGTGATGCTGAGTATTTGCAGTTGGGCTTTGGGCAGTTATTTTTTCCTTTTTCTTTTTACCTTTTCTAGTTCTTCTTCCACCGCTTTTTTCTCCTTCATGACTCGTTCAGTTTGGCTTAGTTTTTCGGCACACTCCTATAAATTCAAGTCACACTGTAAATACATACATTTGTAAATCCTTGAGAAAAATGGAGAAGTGAGAGGATTTGTTCATAAGAGGAATGCCACAGTTACTGGATCAGTACAGCCGACCTCGCTGATGAAAAAAGAAAACCAAAACAAACAAACTCAACCTTCAAGGAGCTGCCTACCCCGGGGTTTCAGAGATCACTTCCCGTGTAAAATGCCAAAGACTTGTAAGTAAACACACCAGGTTGATGGATGGCAGGGAGAAAGAAAGAAATAAATGAGACTCCTTTCTCACACTATAGTTCTTTCCATATAATCTTATCACATGTTTTAAAACAATTAGAAAGAGGCACAGTGCCCTCAGGATAGATAACCTGTGGATTAGAAGGAACACAGGTGTACAAATTCTAAAAGACTTAATTTTTTAAAAAACTGATGAATAGTGAATGCAAATAAAACTAAAAATAAAAACAATCATTGTAAGAATAGTTATTCACATTTATGTTTATCTATTCACTTATTTTTGAGAAGGAGTGTGGCTGTTTTCCATCGGTTGTACATGATGCTTCGGAAGAACCTGCTTTGCTGACAGTACACTGCTAATTAATCTTCAATTACCTTTATCATACATTTTATCAATGTATCAATTTTATCAATGTTTTTAAATTTTAAAATAAGCTTTTAAATTGAAACCCATAATTAATTCTCTGATCATAATGAAGATCTTTAACCCTACATTACAAATCAGATAAGTAAAGTTATTATATTTTAATAAGGTAGAGCCAAGTGTATAAGAAATGAAACTTTAATGTTCTGTATGTTCATACAGTAGTTGCTAATCTATGAAAAAGTTAGTTTCATGGCATGATTTCTCCTACGTTCACAACTCACCCCACGCGATTTTTATGCCCCCCTGAGGATACGTTCACTGACTTTACAGAGAGGAAGGGGGCGAGAACCACTGACGTGAGAGGGGCATCAACGGGTGCCTCCCGCACGCGCCCGATCCGGGATGGAACCCGCAGCCTTTTTGGTGTATGGGGAGATGCTCTAACTGGCTGAGCCGCCTGTCAGGGCAAGACACTCGTTTTCAGATAAATTTTAGATTCACAGCAAAACTGAGTGGAAGTCAGAGATTTCCCTTAAAATCCCTGCCCTGGCACATGGACAGCCTCCCCCTACCGTCAGCATCCGGCACTGCAGCGGTGCCTCTGCTACAAACGATGCGCCGACACCGATACAGCATCGCGCAAACGCCGCAGTCTGCGGGGGTGCGCTTTTGCTGTCATGCAGCTGTGGGCTGGGACAGAGTCACGGCGGCATGTCTCCACCATCGTGGCCCCACACAGAGCAGTCTGACTGCCCTAGAAACTCTTGTGCTTATGCATCCTCCTCTCCTCCTGAACCGCCGACATCCACTGATCTTCTTCTTTCACTGTCTCCATAGTTCCACCTTTTCTCGAATGTCATACATTTGGAATCATGCAGATGCAGCCTTTTCAGACTAGGTCCTTCACTCAGAAATATGTGTGTGAGTTTCCTCCCTGTCTTTTCATGGCTTGACAGCTCATTTCTTTTTAGTGTTGAATAATATTCCAAGGTCTACATGTGCCACAGTTCACATAACCATTCACATAGTGAACAATGTCTTGATTGCTTCCAAAATTGGGGAATTATGAAAGAAGTTTCCGTACATAGTCATGCGCAGGCTTCTGCATGGACCTCAGGTTTCAACGTGTTTGGGTACCTGAAGGGGAGTGACGTTCCTGGGGCATGTGTGTGAGAGAACCTTCACTCTTCTAAAAGTGTCTTCAAACCACCAAACCACATTTAGAAGTGGCTACACCATTTTTCACCCCCATTGGCAACGAATGGGAGCTCCTGCCACCCCCCATCTTTGCCAGGGCTGGTGTTCTGGGCCTGGGCCAGGCTCGTGGGCGTGTCCGGCAGCACCGGGGGTAACGTGTGGTTTCTCCCTATGGTTTCAGTCTGCCTTTCCCTGGTGGCCTGTGTCGTGGAGAATCATCTCATCTGCTGATTTGCTACCTGTATGTCTTCTATGGTGACCTAGGTGTCTGTTAGGATCTTTGGTCCATTTTTTAAAAATTGAGTTATTTGTTTTCTTACTGTTGAGTTTTAGGAGTTTTTGTATATTGAATAACAGACCTTTGTCTTTTGAAAATATTTTTTCTCAGTCTGTAGCCTGAGTTTCCTGAGAAAATCATTTTTTTTAAAGTAATTGAACATGTCTTCCTTTAAATGTATTTCTAAATGTTTAATTTAAACATGTTTTCCCTTTCTTTTTCTTGAATTTATAGGGGTGACATATACAATGGAACACTACCTGGCCATAAGGAAAGATAAAATATTGCCATTTGTGACAACATGGACGGACCTTGAGAACATCATGTTAAGTGAAGTAAGTCAAAAAAACTTAAGAACTGTATGATTTCATTCCTATGTGGGATAGAAAACTGAAAGCAACAAATGGATAACCAAGAGAAACAAACAAAACTCATACGCACAGACAACAATAAACACTTTCAGTTAGTACCGTTTTCCCTATGGAATCAACAGATAATATTTAACATCTTTAGAAAAATCCACTTAGCTATGTATTAGATTTTTTTACTATAAATCCTAAGAAAACATATATTGAAATAATCTGAAATTATAATGTTTTTACTCTAAACTGAGTTTATATAGCTCTGGTTGTTACAAAGGTAAAGGTTAAAATCCCTGCAGGTCTTACATGGTACGTGTTCTTTTGGGAAAATAGAAAGGGCAAATGTTCTTGACCTTCTAGAGTTTACAATCCGTTAAATAATCCCAGACTCAGGTAGGACCTTCCTCAAAGTTGTTAATCCTTCGACAGCTAAATCATCCCATGTAAGAGAACATTCAAAACAGCAAGTGAGGGGAGAGGAAATAAAATGGAAAAACCACAGAGAATTAAACTTGACTAATTGGCCACACTGCATCCCATTAATTTTACCTAACGTTACTACAGCCTTAAAATAAATGGCATTAAACAAACAAAAAGTAACAGTTTCCTGTTTCTGTTGGTCTCAGGACCTACACACAAGGAACGACTTTGTCTGCTACAGAGTTTGCAGAATGAGGAAGACTCCTGCTTTCCTTCAGAGGTGATTGAACATCACTCAGGGATCTTCCCAATTTAAGAAATGCTTGTTTGTACATTTATTCCCCTGTAGGCAAGCTTATTAAATTCCATTTCATTAATCTTCAAGTTAAATTTATTTATTTTGTCCACCTCTAGTCACACAAATACTCTGTTTGCTCCCCCCACCCCAGCGCCCACTCACCCCTAGGTAATCATATCTTTGGGGAAACTGGTCTTTTCTCCTTCGCACTCACACGCATCCTTTTTCCTTCTCTCAGGCCCCACATGTGAACCCAGCGTGTGGCAGCGGCTGCATCGGCTATTTCAACAGCACTGAGTCTGATACTCGTGATAAATGCCACCCATCCTTCCCGCTAGACCGTGAGTTCCAGGACTGCAGATAACATGTTTACATTGATTTTTACTCTTTTTTTAAAGCATCTAACATAGTTCTTAAAAAGAACCTTTTGAATGAACTCATGCCCAGTAATATGGACCTTGGCTATTAAACTAAGCAACCTCAGAAGCAAAATCAACATAGTCTTCTAACGTACCATCTGAAGGGCTGAAAGCTCTTCTGTTAGTCGAGAAATCTGTATGTTATAAAGTTTTCTTGTGTTTGTAATCTGCAAATTAAAACATTCATGAATAGTTTAGGTCTACAGTAAGAATGAATAATAGCCAATATACACAATTAAGATAATAATTTTGATAGAAAATAGAGCGGTAACTTTTCGGGCGTAAAAGGTAAGCGAGCGCCTGATGGATTAGAGAGTCGGGAATGCACAGAGGCAGGAGCCAGGCTGAGGCACAGGCCAGCCCGCCACACACTGGGGCCCAGGACCCTTTGACACTGTAAAAACCAAGATCTTTTGTTTGTGATGGGTTCTTTCTGTTGAAATCTATCATACTAGAAATGAAAACTGACAAAATTTCAAAGTATTTACTTATTGACCCCTACATAAATAACAACAACTAAGGTTATTACAGGTTAACACAAATAACTTATTTTTATAAAAAGTAAGTGTACCTTCTAAAATTAAAATATTTTGAAACGAGTGAGATTATTTTACATTTCTGTAAATTTCCTTACTGTCTGGCTCAACAGACATAACAGGTTAAACACAGATGCCTATTAAGACTGTTTAGACAGGGAGATAACTCAATTTTAGGAGGCAGCTGAAAACCTCACGTTTGCAGAAAGGTTTGGACTGAATATAGAGAGCACAAACGTTGAAAAATTACAGAGATTACTAAAGGATTCATGCAAAAAATAACCTCCATCAACCATAAAATTAATGTGAATTTATTTTAGAACTAGAAAATGAGAGGATTTCTCATATCATGAGTACTTTGATAAAAACACTTTAACTGACGAGGCTTTTAAAAACCGGGCTGTACTTCAGTCTACCTCAGTGAGAAATAATACTGCTTGTAGAAAAATCTAGGGTAGGAAAAAAGTTAACACCTGTATTTTATCCAGTGGAGGAATATACAGTGTATCCAGCTCTCCTACGGAAGGTAACTTACCTTATTTTATTTATTTGCTTATTCAATTTTTTTAAATTAAAATATGGTTGACATACATACAATATTATATTACCTTCTGGTGTGTAGGAGCTCATTTTAAAGGAAAAGGGTATTAGCTTTTGATAATTTATGTTAATTATTGCATAGATAGTCTTTATAATTATGTAGGCAAGCATTTTAATGTACATATTACAGTAAAAATGATACTACAAATTTCTGCTTTTGCTAAATCTTGCCTCTGATAAAAATGTCAAGCTAAAAAATTACAACCAAAGCTTCTTGAAAAACTGGCTGATTCCAGTTTTTCTGAGGCAGGAAAAGTACAGGATGAGAGAGAAACATCACTTACACAAGACAGCTTAGGGAGACAACTCAGGAATGAAAAAGACCGATGGCAATATAATATAACAAGTAACAAATGTTCGTGAACCGCAGTGATATTAAAAAATGGGCCAGGGCACTTCCTTACTGAAAAATGACAGCTCGTACATACACAGAAAGAATAATGGAATTAGACTATTATCATCTTAATCACTCCGTACAATACTTATTTAAGGCAAGGATTGTTGCTGAGGGCCGAAACCACTCGATGAAAGATTTTGGTGGAAAAGGGCAACTACCTGCATGGTCTTCATGTATCTCCCCCAATTATCGATTGAGTTTACGGTGGACAGGCTTGGCATCACCCGCGCACAGCCTGACGTCTCAGCTTCCCGACCTGCCGGGGAAGGAGGTGCACACAGGGCTCTGCAGAAGTGACCTGGGCCTCATGGGGAAGGAATGGTCACGTGACCCCAGACGGGGAAGACAGCCGGCCTGGGTTCTACGGGGGAAGGCAGGGCGCTGTGGCAAACTGGTGAAGACTACGGAGACAGCAGCCAAATGCCATGGTGTGTAACTGTGGACTGGATCCTGGATTTAGAAAACCGAACAGCTATTGGTTTTCATTAAAAATCAAGAATATTTTAGGGAAATTTGACTGTGGATTATATTGAAGTAATGTGGATTTCTAAAAAGGTATGGTAATAGTAGTGTGGTTGTGCAGCCAAACGTACTTCTTCTGGGGAGACAGAGGCCAAAATATTTAGGAGTAAAGTGTTATGATGCCTATAGCCTCATCGACTGTTTGGCAAAAGGGAATGGATTTTGCAAAGTGTTACGAGTCATCAGGGTGAGGAGTAAAGAAGTGTTCATTGTAGAGCCTTTGAACCCTTGTGTGGGTTTGAACATTTCCAAAAATAAAAAGATGCAAATGAACGTCACTGAGAGTACCGCTCAAGGACCAGTGGGCGGCATCTGCGTCCCAGTTCCACCCCGTCCTGGAGGCGGAGCCCTGAGCTAGTTCCCAACGACTCCGCATCTCAGTCTTCTTGTCTCACACTGGGTTTCTGTGGTTTCTTCCCCGGAACTCACATCACACTGTCAAAATTTACCGTACCACGTACGGATTCACATCTAAACTAGAGGAAAAGGCAAGTATATGCATCTCGCTGCTGTCTCTTTTAGATAAAAGCAAACTTTTATTTCCAAGACAGTGTTAACTTTCATAAGCCTCACAACTCAAACCGAGAAACGACTTATTACTTTAACACAAAAAATATTGGACGTAGTCTTGAAAACCGAATAGCAAACCACCACACAATTCACAGACTGGGTTAAGCGTCAGCCTGATGGGACCAGAACAGCGGGGCTCAGTTCAGCAGGGAGAAGGTGCGGCCTACGTTCTGGCTCTAGTTAGCACGTAACTTTGAGCGGTCAGTCAGCAACCCGTTAGTGGTCTTAGTTTCTTTTCCAATAAAGTAACAGGTTCAGCCAGATTTCACCAGTCCTCAGATGCTCTGAGATACGGCAAATTACAGGTTTCCCATTTCTTATGCATTCTAAGTTTCATTTTGAGCCTTCTTTTTTTTAACTTTACACTTCAGGTATGTTAACCTCCACTATCTTCCTCCCTAACTCCCGCTCTCCCTGCTGTCCTGCCCTCCACCGCCGGCCCACTCTGCACAAACACTAGGTGCTACTATCCTGAGATGATTTTTATTAGAAACTTGGTATAATTGATGCATTTAGCTGAAACTGAAGTCCCCACAGCAAGAACTTAGGTGGTATTTAATCTTAAGCTGTGAAACTTTAAATTTTAAATGTAATTAAAAACACCTTACTTCCTTTTTCGTTCTTATGGCAGCATCTTCAACAACCTGAGAAAATGTTTCTTTCATTTTCTCTAGCTCTTCTTCTTTTTGCTTCTCCTCGAGCAGAGCCTGTAGAAAATAATCACTCAGTGTTATTATGGGTCACATCCTTGTTAATAAAAAGAACGTAATAAATGGGTAGAAGTTTACCCACTGACTCCCTTCTTCAGAGCAAACATCCTGTTCTAAACGTCCGAGAGCTCTCCACTTGGAGCGCCTCCCTGAGTGATGGACGGTGACGGTTTCTGCTAACCTGCTCCCCCGATCCTGTCCTCACAAAAAATGTCCTCTTTTCCTTTGGGATTTATTTCAGCCAGTGCCATCAATCTCCATCTCTATAGCTGGAGATCTTAGAGTCATTTTTGGATTTTCCTTCTCCTGCAGTCCCTATATAAAAATAAGTTACCAAGTCCAGGTATTACATTCTTGGAAAAATCCCTTGGATTTCCCTTGGTTTTCATTATTCAGATTAAGTCTCCTGTCATCTCACACCTCAACCACTGTAGATACGACCTGCTCTGTCTTCTTGATGTGTATCTTTAAAAAAAAAAAAGGATTTTATTTTCAGACAGAGGGGAAGGGAGGGAGAAAGGGAGAGAAACATCAGTGTGTGGTTGCCTCTCATGTGCCACTCAATGGGGACCTGGCCCGCAACCCAGGCATGTGCTCTGCCTGGGAATCAACCAGCAACCCTGTGGTTTGCAGGCTGGCACTCAGTCCACTGAGCCACACCGAACAGGGCTCTTGATGTGTTTCTCTCCCTCCAATCATTATTATTTCCCACCTGAAAAATAGTCTCACAAGCCCAGCCTGAAGTCAGTCATGCCCATTCCTTTGCTTTCCCGGGAGCAAAGCTCCTCGGGCACCTGCTCGTCTTCAGTTCTTTCTCCCTCACACTCACCCCACTCAGGCCACAGCAGCTGTGATCCCCGCCAATGACTCAGGAGTCCATTCTGAGTCATCACTTTATTTAATCTGACAGATTAAACTGAGATACCGGATTCTTTCCCCCCGGTTTACTTTGTTACTGGGCTTTCAGTGCCCCCTGGTATTGGTTTTCTTCCCACCCCACGCGTCAGTCCTTCTCGGTCTGTGTTGCTGCTCCTTCCTCTCAACCTCTTCGCTGTCAGACGGCCTGAGACTCAGGCCTTGCTCCTTTGCTCCATCTATGTCCATCCTTCGTGGGCTGATCCAATCTCCTGATTTTAAATATCATTTTTATGCCAACAATTCCCAAATATACCTCCCCTGCCCAAGTATCTTTTTGAGCCTAGAACAGCTCCAATTTTATGCCTGATTGAATCTCTTTCTTTTCAATCATCACATAGTAAGTGGCCCTGTGTTTGGGTCCTACTATCTTCCAAAGATAACACACACATTCCCATCTCTGTCTTTAAAAAAAAACTTTAATAAATCCCCTCCTGCTTAGACAGGTAAGCTAATCAGAGTAATGTAACAGCCTTGTTGGGGGGAGACCCAAGCACGGGGGAAAGGGGAAGCGTCCTAAGAGATCTGCCCTAGGCTGTCCCTGTCTGCCTGCGTGACGGGCTGAAAGACTCCGGGACTTCTGGGACAAGCAACCCAAGGCAGAAGCCCTTTAACAATTGTGCAGGGAGTCAGTCGAAAGGGGGCACAGTACTGCAGCCATGAGCAGCCTCCGCAAGGGTCTGCTGACTGAGGACTGGGGTGAGGACACCTGAGGGGCAGGCAGGGGGTGCTACTGCCACCCTCTCTGTCTGTTCTACACAAATGGTTGTCCTTTACAGCCTGGTGCTAGGGACGCCCCCAGTCTGGGCTTCCGAGGGGAAAGGGAAACAATTTTGTCCTGCTTTTAATGTTTTTTAAAAGCTAACTTAGGTGTTAAGGGAAATTCCCAAGTATGTCTATTTTGTGCCTTTCGACCATTCTAAGTGGCAGAATTCAGATGGGAATATCAGCATTCCCACAGTTTAAATTTGGATAATTATGTCTTTTCATCTTTTACTAGCTTCTTAATAGACAGCTTATAGTTTGTTTCATTTTTAATAGATTTCCTGGAAAACCCTCTACTATGTAAAAAAGGAAAACATAAATAAAGCATTTTATCTGTACTTCCATTTTTCCCAGTAGGGTATTATAAATGTAATAGGTATTCAATAAACATTGGTTAAACAAATTAATGATTTAACGATCTCCACATCAGGAAGGCAGCGACACTAATACAAGCATGTCCTTTATGACATCTGTAAACTATATACCATTCACAGGGAAGCGGTGAAAGACAAAAGTATGACATGTGACAGCTCGGCATCAACTGTTAGCGTTAAAGAAAACAGTGACAGAAAGACTCCAGTTAATAAATCTCTGCAGCTGAATTTAATTCCTGTCATTTGTGCTTCTGGTCTGTTAGAGTGATTGTGTGGGTGATGAAGGGGAAATAAAGATGAGTAAGATTCATCTGGTTCAACTGAATACAACACAGGCACCCCGGCAGTGAAGTGCCGAAGCAGACTTTCTGGAGTGTCAGACTACAGGGCGCAGACCAGTTATGCAAGGACTGCAGACGGAAGGAAAGTCTGACATGCACACGTCACTTTTGGGAGAGGGCTGGCATTTTATCAAATTTTATATTAAGTCTTGGAGAAGTCACCCCCTCCCTGGCTGTCAGTAAGGCAGCCCAGGCTCAGCTCTTGCTGTCGCCCAGGGTGAGGCTGCCAAAGAGGGTCTCTGCCAGGCTACCTTGCAGGGCCCCCAGCTTGGGCAGATTGATGAGATTTGCTGCCAAGTTTCTGATGGACTTTATGTCCTGGTGCAGGTGGTGATGCTCCAGGACACCACACAGGTGGGCGTGGTTCCTGATGGCGGCCAGGTGGCACAGATTGAGCAGGCTCTGGTTCACCATCCTCTCCATTTGCAAGGTGTTTTTCATGGCCCTCCGGCCGCGCCCCAGCAGCCTGGGTCAGGCCTTTGGATATCGCCCAGGCAGATGCGGCCCCCTCGCTGGCTCCAGCTGCACTGGCGTCCGGACTTGCTCCTATGCCTCCCTCCACTGCCACAAGAAGAAGGCAGGGAAGTGCTTCAAGGCCGCTTCCTGGTGGCCGAAGTAGAAGGCCATGGACAGGTACAGGTCGGAGGCACGAGGCTCCAGGTTGACGTGTCTGTGGAGGGCGGCCTGGCATTCCTGGCGGTAGTTCTGGTGCAGTCGTGAGGGAGGTGGTGGTGGGGTGGCAGGGTGCCCACCATGCAAGGCGCAGGACGCAGGGCTAGAGGTGCAGGCACCAGCGCTTGTGGGTCGGGCTCTGTGGCCAAGAAGGCCGATAAAGCGCCTTGATGAGGGCTGCCGAGGGGCGGGCTGCAAAGCGGCAGCTGCGTAGGGGAAGGAGACCAGGCCCGGATCATCCCCATGGTGGTCGATGACTGTACCTGGAAGCTCAGTCAGAAGAGATGGCGGTGGGAACCAGGGAATGTCCCTGCGGTGGGTGCCCAGTGTGGCCGGACACAGGCGTGCTCAGACGCTAGGCCGCAGGTGGCTGGAGGTGGGCTCTGAGATGGCCATGATATTAAGTCTTGTCACTAACGTGTTTATTAATGGAGAACATAGCAATTTCATTTTCATGGGTTTTTCTGTAGTTATAAATTCCCATACTATTAGGTCACATGGGCAAACAGTATTTTATTTTTTTAATAAACATGTTAATTAGTTTTCTTACCTGGTTTTTTTGCAGGGTAGCTTCTTCTAAGAGTTGCATGCTATTTCTGGCTCTTAGAATAGCTTCATATTTCTCATTTTCTAATTCATTGTACTTTGCTTGTAAGTCTCTGGTCTGGCTTTCCAAATGTGTTTTTTCTGCTCTTAATTGGTTGGCTTCTTGAATTGCTACACATAACCTAAAAATTAATAATCACATTGTAAAAGTTCAATATCTTTTTTAAAGATTTATTTTTAGAGAGAGGGGAAGGGAGGGAGAAAGACAGGGAGAGAAACACTGATCTCTCACGAGAGATACGTCACTCAGTTGCCTCTCACGTGCCCCCAGCTGGGTCCTGGCCCACAGCCCAGGCATGTGCCCTGACTGGGACTTGAACTGGCGACCTTCAGTTTGCAGCTCTGCACTCAGCCCACTGAGACACACCAGCCAGGGCTAAAAGTTAAATATTTTTATAGGGAAGGAAGGAGATAGTGTATTTACTGAACACCGATTACAGTAACAGTATTCCATTTACGTTCACATGCATTTTTTCATGATTGGCACAAAGATTCGGTATCACAGATTTTGTTATTTCTATTTTAAAGAAAATCAAAGAAACCCATTTTAATAGAGATTAAGCATTTGATTAAGCTCGAATGGCTAATGAGCAGTGGGGCTGAGACCACACCTAGAAACTTAGATTCTGTGTTACACTTTTGGTATTATTACAGTGTATTGCATAGTTACACAATAATGTAGAATCACAGAGTATTGCGTAGTTACATGATAATGTTGTGCAGCAGACCCTTAAGAATGAGTTGCCATTTCCGTTTACACGGCCTTTCCCCCCCTTTCCTCCTTTTTGGTTGGCTCCCAGTTCCTACTCTCTACTCAGCCCATGTCAACTTACTAGTATATATCTTTGAATATTTCCCCCAAGTTCATAAAATCATATACATATACACACATAAATACATATGCACAGTACATACACATCGACTCCACAGGTTTTTAAACCTAATTTTTTGTTATTGAGACCAAGACTCCCTTTCCTGTGCCTGCGTTCCTCGCCGAACAGCATCTCGCAGACACTGCCCAGCGAAGCGCCCCAAGGCCCCTTCCCTTCCCGCTCTGGTGGCTGCGGCTGCCTCTGCCTCTTACTGTGAATTGTACTGCCCTGGTTACTGGAGGCATTAAGCATATATTTAAAAGTTTGCTAGACATGCGAATTGCCATATTTAAATCTTTTCTTCATATCTTCTGTCTATGTTTCCAGATGGGTTATTTACTTTGCTGGTTCTTTTATAGGAACTGTTTGAATGCTAAGATACTAACCTTTGGTCTGTCCTGCATGCTGCAAATGTTTTTCCCAAACCCGCTTTTTGTTGTTGGTGCCTACTGACTCTATGTAGAGAATCTATCACCCGACAAAATTTCACTTCAATGCAGATAAATCTGACGATGGTTTCTTCTTCTCGGGTTTCAGTTTTTATGAACATGATCTCCCTTATCCACAGATTGTTCATGTAAGCTCCTGGATTTCCTCAAACGATTGCTATGTTTTTCATTTTTCTACGCCTCATTCTTTAATAACATGTTCTGGTAAGACAGCTCTTCCCTTTGTTTGTTCTTCTCAGGCATTTTCCGAGAAGCCTGCTCTCCCTTCCCGCCGCCCCCTGACTCACACCGTAACAAGTGTCCCTGCCCTGGTACACCCTGTGCTCCCCCACCGCTCTCCTGGCTTTGGAAGTGATAGAAGTCGGCCTACCTTTTACTGCATTCCTCTCTTTTTAAAACATTTTTTTGTTGTTATTAGTGCATTTGCTCAATTCAAAATGAAGTGAGTTAAGGTGTGTCACTAATTTAGTCAGGGTTCTTCGCTGCTAGCAAGCAGAAGGCAATCTAACTTGAAATCTTTGTTCTAGTTCATTTACTCTTTGTTTTAGTTGTTTTCCAAGACAACCTATTACTGGGCTTTGATTTTTTTTAATCCAAACCTGCGAGTCTCTGTGTTTTAAGGACTTGAGTCCACTCAGACCTTACTCTGTGATTTCTGTGCAGGACATCACTCCCTCTCGTCTAGTTGAGGCAATTGTGGTAGCACTTGTGGTAGCAGGTGGAGCACTCACCCCTTCCACAGGGACACCAGCCACTGTCCCAGCACCAGTTCCCCCTTCACTTCCCCAGGGCCTCCTGGCAGGCACAGCAGGTGGACTCACGCAGGGCTTATGAAGAGCTAGTTTAAAGCCACGCTGCTCATTTAACTCCTGCCTTACTTGGCAGAGCATACACAAGCCAGAGAAGCCTTTTCCAGAGAGAATGGTCATTCCCTGGAGATATTTCGCAGGACCCATAAATCATCTAAAAAAGCAGGGAAAAGGGACCTTTATTTGGAAGTTGAAGAGAAGTGACTTTGCTTCTTAAATGACTGTGACATTTGAAAAGATCACAAATAATTTTAAATATAATAATTTCAATAACTATAATAATATTTATGGAGACCAAAATGCCTTTGATTTTATGAACCAAAGATGACCAATAAATATAGAGCTTTAAAATCTCGCAGTTTCATTAAATAAAATACATTCACACCTAAACATATTGGCTGAACACTGCTAAAGGCACATACCAAGTACACTACTAATACGAGATTTTTTTAAAACTTTAAAATATATACCCAATTTTGATCACAGTATGAATTTAATTTAACAGGGCCGAAAGTCAGCCAATGTAAACATTTCTTTTCAGGAGGCTAGCTGAAGGCTATTTCTCGACTTTAAGAAATATCCTTATATTTTCCTACACAGGCCGTGATCTCTTCTCGGGGAGCCGTTTAGCCAGGCTACCCCAGAACTCCATGCTCACAGCAAAGCACAGTAAAACAATGAAAGTTTTCTGAAACCTTCAACACTAAAGACACAACTCAGAGCACTGCCGAATGAATCAACTCTATTCATCCTGACTCAGTACTATCAGAATCAACAGGAAGAGAAACTCACTCACACAGATTTCACTGGTTTGAATCTCTAACATTAATTTTCATAGCACAGATGTTACTAGAATAACAGACGTGAAAGTCTGTTAACCACAGACTTTTTCTGTGAGGTTAATACAAAGAAGTTCAGGAAAGTAACACAACCGACTGCTGAAAGCTTAGAAAAATGAAAAACAAAGCCCCAAAACCCTAGCACTTGAAAAAATTATGTCTTTCATCAGAATATCCAGTTAGCAGTTAAAATCAATTAGTTCCCAACCTCCTGTGAGCAAAGGAATGACTTTCATCAACATTTTGGAGAACAGGTAACAGAAGGTCAAAGACACTACTTTTTTCCTGAACAAACAATAAATTAGCCATGGATCTGTGAGTAGAACTGAGCTCTCAATTTTAAATGTTCTCTGATCAATAGACTTTTTCTGATTGTAAAAGATTCCAATTGTGCACAAATTTTTAGCTCTAATGTGAATTTATAGGCTGTGGGCATGGTATCATTAAAAGATTACAAATGACAATTTTCGAATAAGGAAACAGTAAGAGGAAACAAGAGCAAAACAACAAAAGATTCTGGAGTGAATCCAGAATCTGGAGTTTACATTAAGATAGCAATTAGCTTTGGCTGCTGTGGCTCAGTGGATTGAGGGCCGGTCTGCAAACCAAAAGGTCTGAGGTTTGATTCCCAGTCCGGGCACATGCCTGGGGTGTGGGCCAGGTGCCCAGTTGCGGGGGTGCAAGAGGCAACTGACTGATGCATCTCTCTCTCACACTGATGTTTCTCTGTCTCTCCTTCTCCTTCCCTTCCCTTCTCTCTCTAAAAATAAATAAAATTAAAAAAAAAGACAGCAGTTAAAGACAAAGCTACAGATGTATTTAAAAACTAGTCCACTCATGGACATGGACCACAGTGTGGTGATTGCAGGGGGGAGGGAGGTATAAGGGAACTAGTATGGTAATTAAAAAAAATGACAATAAAAATTATTCAGAAAAAACTGGAAAAACAAAGTACTCCAGACCTTAAAGAGAACTGAAAATAACTGCCTTGGAAGATTCCAGTGCACACATCTAGAATGATTTCTCAAGTGTTTTGTTCTCACGTGTCTCTTCTTACTAGGAATGGTTTTTCTATATAACTTTCACTCAACACCATTATTAGTTTTTTTCTGCTTCAAGAAGAAAACATTTTTGATTTGGGGACTGATTAAACTTGACTATGACTGCTTTAGAGAAAAGACAGAAATGATCTTTGAATATATTTTCAAAACATACCGACCTTTTGAATATCATTTTATAAATAAAAATGCCCAATAAATCAGATTTTAAACCTGTGATTCTAGTTTGTATAGCACGTATAACACACATATGGAACTCAATGTGGAACATCATCTGAAAAGTACAGGCAGAGCTAGAGGCACTGGACGCGTTACCGAGTTTCCAGTAGTTTCACGCTGGTCTGCAGCTGCTGTAAGCGCCTGTCTGATGCTTCCTCCCGCCTTTGGGCGGACACCACCTCCTCCTCCTAGAAAATGAAGAAGCTGGAGGCTTATTTTGAATATGTGAAAACGCAATTCATCGTTTTACAGCGCACAGACAAGAGTTCACTCTCCAAAGTTACCACACTGCTAGAATTTAATATGCAAGTCTGAAGAAGCAGGGCCACTTGGGAAACAAATCATACGTATACTAAAAAAGGGGAAAGATAACTCACTGTATTAGAACAATAATCAAAATATGGTCATTGCACATAGATTTCTACCAATATTTCAAACTACTGTATTCCCATAGTACAAGTCTAACAGGACAAGGCTAGGATTTGTATGTAGCCATCTGCCTTCAGGATATGCTAGGTCACACTGCATCCACTCTAATCATAGGGTAGTGCTTCTTTGAGATGGTGATGCTCTGAAATATCTTCAGGTTTTATTTGGACTGTCTTTAAAAACAATTCCTCTCTCCTGGCATGTTAAGCAAGTTTCTTTTTACAATACCATTTTAATTCTTCTATTGACTTTTAGCTGTATTTGTTTGGATTACTTTTTTAGGGTTGCTCTAGAGATTACAATATACATCTCCATCTTATCCCAATTTGTTTAGAGTTTAACTAATTCGCAGAAACTTTGGAACCCTGAAACAGTGTGTCTCCACAGAGTGCGCCAGCCTCAAGTGCCCCGACTGTCCTGCCTCGCATCTGCGCTCTTCATGAGTCCATTAAACACAGTGCGAAGTTCTGCTTTAACGTAGTCTAGTCTTTGAAGGCATTAATGAGAGAAAAACATGTTGATGTGTTATTTCATATTCATAATTCCTGTTGCTCTTAATTTCTCCCTATACCTGAGTTGCCATCTGGTGTCACTTCCTTTCAGCCTAAAGAGTTTTCTTTAGCATTTCTGAAATACAGCTTTGCGAGTGACGACTTCTCTCAGTTCTTGTTGACCTGAAAATGCCTTTATTTGGCTTCATGTATGAAACACACAGTTGCACTGCACAGAGAATTCTTAGTGAGCATTTTCATCCCCTGCAGCACTTCGGAGACATTATCCCAACGCAGTCTGCTGCCGGTTTCTTCTCGGGAAACCAGCCAGCGCTCACCCCATTCCCGCTCGTGCCCTTTTCCTGCCGCTGCTCTCCCATCTTTGTAATTGGCCGTCAGTTTGCCATGATGTGTCTAAAAGTGATTTTCTTTGTGTTTATCCTACTTGGGATTCACTGACATTCTTAGTGTTTTCCACCAGATTTTGGAAGTTTTCAGGCATTATTTCTTTAAACGTCTTTTCTGCTCTCTCCTCTGTGCCTTTGCCCGACTAAATCCAACAGCTGGGTCCACTGAGAGTGAGTTTCACGGATTGCCCTCCTCCTCCCCACCTCTCCTCGCCCCCGTGGCCAACAGTTACACAGTTTCCTGTCCAGTAAGTTTCGGCTGAAAACTGGATAATATAGTTATTTTCAATATTATAATTTAGCTTCCTAATTTTATATTTTGGGGGCAAGAAAATGATTAATTCATTTTTCAGCAACCCTGTTTAACACCTAATCTAAATAGATCAATAAATACACAAAAAGTTGATCTATAGGCAATCAATTATTGTGGAAAGAAGAAAATACCTTCTTTTTCATCTGTTTTTGAGAATGTTCAGTCATTTTAGTTAACTCTGCCACTTTTGCAGCTGCAATTCTCAGATCTGTCTTGGTTTGCCTAAAACAGAACATAAATTAATACAGTTTTCACACACCATAAAGAATTTAAAAAATCAGAAAAATATGTAAATGTAGTAAAACCGGTACTGATTTAATGCTCGTACATGTTTAGGAAGGAACATCGGCCGGGATCAAGCCTCTGTGATAGATGGCTTCCCCATTTCCATTCCGGCGGACTGATCAAACCCACCCTCCTGTTGTGGGCACAGGATGGCTGAGACGCTCCTGTGGTCAAGGGCACCAAACCTCTGCAACTGATGGTTTCCTGACTTCTATCTAATTTGCCTAGTGACTCTACTTCAAAATTGTCTCTCAATTGTGTGATACATTTTCGTTTCCACTGCCCAACCTTTGGCCCCATCACCACTTCCTAGGATGGTTCCAATGGCCTCCAAACTGATTCCTCCACCGCTGGTCTCCTCTTTAGCTCACCTGCTACAGGGCCTTTTATCTGCAGAAAAGGTGACCTACCCAGGGATGAAAACTCATGTTTAATCATGATTTCTGGGTTCCCCACATCTTTGGGCACACAGTCTTCTGCATGGTATGTAAGGCTAGCTAGAATCTGGCTTCAGAGTCTCACACCTTGCCCATTCCCCCCACATAATTTATGTTCCAGGTATAACACACCACTAAACTTATTGTTTACTAAAGACGTATCCTTGTTTATTTTTTCATGTGCTTGATTGGACTAGCTTCCTTCCTCTTTTTTTTTTTTATAACTTCCTCAATCTTTAAGACTTAGTTCCTAAATCTCATCTCAAGTCTTCCTTAACTTGTCCTAGGCAAAAGACCCTATAATCCCAGTCCTCATATAAATGTTTTGTACATAATAAACAGATACTCCTTCATGGAATTCAAAGTTTATAAAAATATGGAATTAAGATCATTAAAGGCAAGACTCACATTTTGTTAGTTGTTAAATCCTCATTAGAGAGCATAGTACCCAACACACGTTGTAATCAAGGTAAATATATCATAAATGGATGAAAGAGAAGGCCAAAGGAAAGGAAACAGAGTCGGAGGTATGCCTTGATATTTTGCTTAGATCTTGCATATCCGATTTGATACTTGTGTATGGAAATCTCAGAGTAATAATTTTGTGAGTCTCTTATTTGAAACAGAATCCCTCTCTCACATAAATTTAAAAAAACAAACAAACACAACTTCAGGCACTGGCCCTAAGACCTGTTTTTGGGAATCATTAAGAGAAAAAGTATTCTGAGACCTTTTAAATTCTTATATCACAGCTCCTAAAACACCAAAAAAACCCTATGTTTTTGGGGGGATAATAAGTAGTACTGTATATATACTAGTCATTTCTACATTGTTCCACAAAGTACTTAGAAAAGGAGTAAAGAGTCGTTTATGTCTTCCTCTGGCATGAAATACTGAAAACTATTCTGGAATCTGAGCTGTAAGGCCCGCCCTCCAGGCCTGGCTCTCCCACTGTAAGAGCCATGGGAACTGTGTCAATCACTTCGTCTTCCTGAGTCTCAGAACTGCAGCTGGAAAGCAGAGGCCGAGCGAGACACATTTTTCCTCCATGGCTTGCAGAATTATCATCAAGTTCAAATCAGTTAATTCATATTAAGGCACTTAATAAACTTTATTATGGTTTCTACCAGTGTAAGCTATCATCATAATCTTGCCCTGTTTTGGATGCTGAATTGCCAGGAACTGTGTGGTGTAGTGTGACTTTACAGCTGGACTGGGGACGCTTGGGGTTGCCTGTATGTCTGGCCTTGATTCCTGGCCAAGAACTGAAAAGTGGGATTTATGATGTGCTGCTTAGAGTCTGAATCTCCTCTAGTAACCCCCAACCAGGATCTCTTATGGTGGTTTTCACCTGCATTATTGGTTAGACAGCTGGTTTAGACTATGTGACCAGAGTGCAAAAAAACAAAAACCCCGTGGGAACTTCTGCCTTGAGCTTTCCTGCAGCCAAGATTTAGTGCACGAGAGCCTTCAGTAGTTCAATCTGCAGACTGAGCAGGTCTTTGCGGGAACAACGACCTGGGGCACTGTGCGGGGTGTCACTGGGCCCTCTGCTTGCCTGTGCCTGTGCCAAGACTACGGAGTCTTGGGAGTCCTTTCAAATGCTTAAACTTTGAATCTCTAAAAGGAACCAACAAAAATAATCCTAATTTTATTTTATAAAGGAACTTCAATAACCATACGTTTATACTATTTTACTTGCAGAACACTTTAGATAGATGTTTCCTTGTGTACAAATTACATCAAGGTCAAAAATAGTTTTCATTGTAGAATAACAAATTTCATTGCAAAATAAGACCATGGCTGGTGTAGCTCAGTGGATTGAGCGCGGGCCTGCAAACCAAAGGATCACGGTTCAATTCCCAGTCAGGGCACATGCCTGGATTGCAGGCCAGTGCCCAGCAGGGGATGCATGAGAGGCAACCATACACTGATATTTCTCTCCCTCTCTCCTTCCCTTCCCCTCTAAAGAAAAATAAATAAAATCTTAAAAAAAAATAAACAATAATAACTAATTAAACAATCTTGATGTCACAACTACTCACATATTTCATTTTTGCCCCAAAAGAATATTTAAAAAAACACATTATTTCATTTTCAGGCATGCTTTCTTATCAAAGAATTTAAAGTTTCTGGAATATTTCTTTAACATACTTTTTCATGATTTATAAAAAACAAAGTTTTGCTGTATTAAGCAAAGTATAACCAATATAGTACTATATTTATTTATTTATTTTTAAATTAATTATGCCATTACATTTGTTATATTCCCCCCTCCGTTCCCCTCCACCCTGCACACCCCTCCCCCACCAACCCCCCTTTAGTTCATGAACACGTGTCTCAAGTTCTTTAGATTCTATATTTCCCACACTATTCTTACCCTCCCCCCTATTTTCTATCTACTGTCTATGCTACTTATTTTCTGTACCTTCTCCCCCCTTCTCCTCCTCCCACTCCCCTGTTGCTAACCCTCCATGTGATCTCCATTTCTGTGGTTCCGCTCCTGATCTAGCTGTCCTCTTAGTTTGCTTTTGTTTTAGTGTGGTTGTTGATAACTGTGACTTTGCTGTCCTTTCACTGTTCATGTTTTTTATCTTCTTTTTCTTAGGTAAGTCCCTTTACCATTTCATATAATAAGGGCTTGGTGATGATGAACTCCTTGAATTTGGTCTTATGTGAGAAGCACTTTATCTGTCCTTCCATTCTAAATGAAAACTTTGCTGGATAGAGCAATCTTGGTTGTAGGTCTTTGGTTTTCATGACTTGGAATACTTCTTTCCAGCCCCTTCTTGCCTGTAAGGTCTCTTTTGAGAAATCCGCTGACAGTCTGATGGGAACTCCTTTGTAGGTGACTGTCCCCTTATCTCTTGCTGCTTCTAGGATTCTCTCCTTCATTTTAGTCTTGGCTAATGTAATGATGATGTGCCTTGGTGTGTTCCTTCTTGGGTCCAATTTCTTTGGGACTCTCTGAGCTTCCTGGATTTCCTGGAAGTCTATTTCCTTTGCCAGAATGGGGAAGTTCTCTTTTATTATTTGTTCAAATAAGGTTTCCACTCATGACTGTTCCTCTTCCCCTTCTGGTACACCTATAATTCAGATGTTGGAGTGTTTAAAGATGTCCTGGAGATTCCTAAGCCTCTCCTCATTTTTTTTCATTCTTGATTCTTCATATTTTTGTTTGGTCATTTTTTTCCTTCCTTCTGGTCTACTCCCTTGATTTGAGTCCCAGTTTCCTTTCCATTACTATTGGTTTCCTGTGCATTACCATTCATTTCAATTAGTTTAGCCTTCATATGTTCCTCTAATTTGTGACTAAAATCAACCAGTTCTGTGAGCATCCTGATCAGCAGTGTTTTGAACTATGCATCTGAAAGTTTGGCTATTTCTTCATCACTTAGATTTATTGGCTCTGGGGCTCTGAGTTGTTCTTAAGCCATGTTTTTATCTGTTTGTGCCTGTTACATATGAGGAGCGGAGCCTTAGTTGTTTACCAGGGCGGGGCCACCCAGGTCGCTGGTTTGTGACGCTTTATGTGGGGGCGGGGTCAGAGAGGGAGCAATGGTGGTCCTCTCCACTCGCCCAGTCCATCCCACCACTCGCCCCTGCCTGTTTATCTGAGCGTAAATGTGCAAGCCCGCCGCCCTGTGCCTCGTGGTCTCAGTGCTCGCCTTTTCACTGGTTTATCTGTGCGCAAATGCTCGACGACCCCAGCCAGTCAGCCACGCCTCTTCCCTGTGTCCGCCCATAGCTAGCCCGCACCTGGGATCCGCGCCTTCAGCTGCTTGCGCAGCACCCTGGTTGGGGATCTTTTTGGCCAACCCACTCTGCTGCTGGCTTCGCCCCTCTCACTGGTTTAGCTGAGCATTACGTTGTTTTTGGACTCCATATTGTCAATTTTCTGTGGTTTGGTTGCGTTTATTGTTGTTAAAACTTTGTTGTTTTTAGATTTGGTTGTGCAAGGATGCAAAGTGTTTCCACCTACGCCTCCATCTTGGCGGAATGCAATATAGTACTATATTTAAATTACAGCATTAAGTTAGACAGAAATTAAAATGTTTTAATATTACATTCTTTTGAGATTTAACATCAAATACAATGGGTCTACTTTAAATTTTTACGTTTCTTTTGCTGTCCCACATCAAGGAAATCCTAAAAATGTTTACAATAATTCTTTCATACAATGAAAAATGATATTCAGAGAGAAATAAAATGCAAATTTTACTTATTTTATTTAATATATATTCTAGTTTTTTCCCTTTAAAATGAAAGAAAGTCTCATCCCTTGGTACTTTAATAAGTACTTTAGTAATTACCCAGTGCTATTGTCAAGCCAACCACTGATACTTAAAAACTTTAGAGAATAACTATCATTTTAGACAAAGTTCTGAAGTTTTAAGATCACTTCTGCTTTAGAAAACTGATGGTAAACAGCAAAACTGTGAAAGTTTTTATTTTAATTTTTTTCTTTAAATCATTAGTGTCCACTTAATGATCAAACCT